TAAACAAGCAGGTGTCTGTCACTGAGGAAGGCTCCGAAATTCTGTTTTTATCCACCCAAAATGGTTACGTTTGCTCTTATCAGGGAGTTGGTGGTTGGTTCCCATTTGGTTGCAATTTACGTCTAGTTGGCAGCGCGCAGGTGGAAGGAAGCCAAGTTTTCTATCAAGATGACAGTTTGGTAACAGATGTCTAATGTTTCCCAACACATTTAGCTCATGTGATAGGAATCGTGAGCTAGTTTAGCAAAGCTGAGCAGTTGGGTAATTGCAAACCTTTGCTCCTCGCATTTTCTCATTTATCCTTTTTAGCTGCCTCCGTAAGGTGATTCTCGATTCTCTTTTTTTTTTTTTTTTTTTTTTTTTTTTTATTTGTAGTTTTGGGAGAAAAAGCTTGACGTGTGTTTTGGAGTAATTGTTGTCCTAGGAGGCAATCACTTGTTTAAATGATTGGAAACCTCCAGCAGTGCAATAAGCCACATGTTTTCCTCTCCCATTCTGCGTAACAGGCATTGCCCAAATGCTTGGGCTGTGGCTCCCGCGCTGCTGTTTCAAAGTAATGGGACATGTGGATGATGGTATTTACTCCTGATCCCCCCGATGACTCTGGTTTCTCGCATGTGATGCCTGTCCATGCCGAAGAGGAGGCTGAATCAAGGCATCTTAGAGACTCCTTAAGACTATGTATTCTATTTGGAATGAGAGAAAGAAATGCTGGTCCCAAGCCCCAACTCTTCCATAAGGCGGCACTGATACTCGTTAGGGAAAGCCAGTCGTTTGAGGTTTCAGTAGGTACCTCTGGCATTCAGATACGCAAGAAACCTTGGAGAAGAGCTTGGGAGATTGCGCAGGACGCTCGTGTTTGACCTAGATCTGAGCATTTCCCCCTCCATAATGTTTTCTGACATCCCCTATGGAGAAGATACCTCTCCTGTTAGCTGCAGGAGGGGACTGTAAGCTCTGGCGGGGTTGGTTTGGTCGGGTAGGTGACAAAACCCAGTTACAATAAGCAAAAGAAGTCCCATTCAGAGTGCATTGGGAGTTGATACCTGGCCTCCCACAAGCTCTTGTGAAAATCTCAGCCTTAATTTTAAAAGCTCGCTATTAAAGAACAGACTTTTTGTTGTTTCTCCCTATTCGGATGACAGGTTCTCAATATCTTTTATTTTTGTGCACTTCTAGCTATGATTTTCCAGGTGTTTTGGCCTGTGATAGCTGGGGCGAGAAGCACAATTACCAAAATATCCGGAGAAGGGCTCTTTCTTAATTACGTCTAATTCAACTGGAGTCAGAAAACCCCAGAAATCTCAGAATAGAAAGTTTGAGCCTTGCATCCGCTTTGCTCCAGAATGTCACTGAACGTGGGTGCGGTGCTGATCAGCATTCATGCCTCCGAGCTTGCCCGAGATGTCTTCCCAATACACCTCTTATCTATTAATTTAGGAACTTAAATCACCAACTCTTCCAGAGGTCAAAAAATCATTTTCTTGTTTGAAAAGTCTCAGAGCACCGGCATACGGCTGCAGAGTTAGAATATAATTGCCTTTCGCATTAGACTGCTAAGTACCAGATGGGAAGAGGCTGTGGCATCTGCAAAGTGGTACCCAGAAGAAATACTCCTTGACTTGGCAGACGTATTTTTCCCACAGAGTGCCGAGTTATTTCCAGGTCATCTTGCACAAGTGTGGTCAAACTGTCTCTACCATTCATCCCATCTCTGTTATATTCCCAGGGAATATCCGAAGCGTCCTCCCCAGCGTCTGAGCGTAGCAGATTTCTTCAACCTGGTCCAGAACCGAACATTTTCCCACAGACACACCAATATTAATTTTTAAACTTCTTCTGTACTGCTTTGCGCTGTCCTCCCAATGCCTTGAAAGGGTCCCTTTTTTTTTGGAGGTGATAAAATTAAGACATCACACATGTTTTTCACTATAATTTTGTCAAGCAAGGAGCACATGCTGCAAAACCCTGGGAGTTTCTGTTTAGGGAGCGGCACACTCAAATTAAGGAAGTCGAAGGACAGAAGTTTAACTCATACTCTAAACTTCAGGATGAGGATTACGCCCTGAGTTCGGATTTAGCAGATGGCTTGGGAATATTTGCATTTCAATATTTTTATTTAAGTGACTGAAGAGATTTATTCTTCAGTTTTGCAGGGCTGAAGTGCATAACTCCTGTTAGTTTGTAGGATTTTGATTTGAAAGTGGACTTTGACCTTTGTAGCTGGGAATAACACGGAATTCAGATGTGACTGTTGTTACTAAGCATGTGAAGGGCTTGCTTGCTTGATTTTACACACGTTTTGGTTTCACTATATATTTTGGGGGTTTGGATGCCTGTTGCACAGTATGTAGAAAACTGCATCCGATTTGTTTTATATGCTTCATTGCACTTGTATGTACTAACTACACATAAGCAGTCTGTCAAAGAGAATTAGCCAAGAGATTTCAAAAAGCAATCACAATAATGCTGCAAGTACATTTTTTAAGCCCAATAATAAATGAACACTTTTTTTAACTTTAAAAGCCATCAGCAGAGCTTTTGGCTTCTGCGACTCAACACACAAAACGATGAAGAAGTTGGGACTGGAGCGGCAGATCCCGTCTCCCATCGAACCAAGGGATTTTCGGAAGAATTGGTAGAATTTGCAGGGTCTGGGACTATGGTCCTGCTTGCCTTGCCAGCACCGTGCCACGTCTTACCTAGTTTTTGTCCTCTCACATCATTTTTGTAGGACTTGGCCGTCTTCTCTCACATCATTTTTGTAGGACTTGGCCATCTTGGGAATTGGACTAGATGATCTTCAAAGGTCCCTTCCAACCCAAACCATTCTATGTTCCTATGTTTCTTTCAGGATAAGAGGTATTACAGGGAAAAAACCCATTTCTCCTCTCTGTCCCGTGTGTTTTTGGAGACCCTAACCCTTCTGACAGACTGCTGTTTGGCATCTCTCATCCCCTGCTTGCTCAGCATTGAGAAATCCTCACTAGTTGCCCAGGGGAGAGGACGGGGTAGCTGGTCCCCTGCCTCCCTGGGAGCACGAGATGGCTTCCTTCCGTGTTTTCTTTCCTGCCTCCCTCCACCAAGAAGGGAGGCTCCCAAGCCTTGGGCAAAGGTAATGCAGGGCTTCTTGACCTGAAGTTTTGCATCCGTTGTTAGACTGTTGGAGGGAAATTTTCAGTGCTGGGATTTCATCTTCCTAGCAATTATAAATCATGAAGGGTATTTAACTGGTCAGGAACACGAAAGATAACTCCTGTGCTGTCTATACCTTCATCATGAAAACTAGACTCACCTCATTGCTCTGTCACCCCTAAAGTGACATGTCTGCTGTGATTTAGAAGGGAATATATAAATACGTCTTTGCTTTAGCAGAAATTTTTAGTGACAGGTTTAGTCTGCACCTCATGATGGGTATGAAGCGATGGATACGCAGCTGTGTCACACAAGGTTATCCCAAGTTCGAAGCGGGCTCGGTACTGATTGGTTTCCAAAATTGGATGCTGGTATGGCCACAGGAGCAAGGTGACCGAGAAGATCTGGTGACAGTACAAATAATAAAGCAGAGCTTAAGTAATTTGTCGACAGCACCCCCAAGATAAAATTGCGCTTTATTGCATTGGATTTGGGGCTTGATGATGTGACCTTTCACCTTTCTTGACACCTCTTTCTATTTTTCCCTTGTAACTCCAAAGTTTTTTTTTTTCCTTTCTCTTTCTGCCCCTTTGTCACTGCAGTTTTAAATAGACTAAAGAAGGTGGTTTGAAGGGAATAAGTCAGTAAATCAATTCCATCCCATGATTGAATTAGAGACAGGCGTGATGGACAAGGTACATTAAGAAGGTAGACAGGTGGATACGTATGTGTGATTGTGGCTAACACTATGATGTTTTATCTTTACGCTAGCGTTATCATGCACAAATGAAGCATCCAGGTGAAATAGCGGATTACAGTCTGCCTGTTAATTGCAAGATATTACGGCTAAAATTAAGTACTGAAAACCAAGCCAACTCCCCCTTTACACCCTCCACGCCTCTCTCCATAATCCCGTCAATGCTCTTTTCCCATACAAGTCTGTGTCACCAGCGGCCAAAGGTTGTACGCGCACGGGGACTTCTCCGGCAGCTGAATGTCAAACTTTATTGAGTGGGTGGATCCTGTTCATCCATTTCCCCTCCGAGCCTTTCTAAAAATACCGTAAACCTTGTCAAGGAGCTATTTTAGAGGAATCATATTCATGAGGATAGTCATGGGAAGCTTATTTTGGCAGGCTTGCATGTGTTCGATTTGCATGCTTCCTTAGTCAAGGGCTTGGTGAACTTGTGTTGTGAGCCAGTTGGACATGGGCTTAAGAGAGAGCATCTGGATTTTGGGACCTCTTGGGTTGGGACGTCTACTCCAAGTGAGTTTATAGGAGGAAAAGAAGTGAAGATATTCTTATAGGAAGGTTGATATGTGACTGAAGTCATTCATTTCAGGCATTTGCACACCAGCCCGCAGCTTATCGGATCTGATTTCATAAAACCTGGCTGTGATTTCTCTCCAGGGACCTTAATGATCTTGCCACTTTCAATAAACATTTATAGAAACTACTGCCAGCCTGTGGATAAGAGAAACTCCTATGAGAGACTTTATCTTCCAAAAATACTTAAAGACAACAAAAAAAAAAACCACCCACAAGAAGATCAATAGAAAATGTCAAAATGTAGCGTTTGCTGGGTAGCTGGAGCTGAATTGCAGTACCAGACATTTGCATTGTAGGCATGCAGTAGGTATGTTTGCTTTTCTCACTTGGAAAACCGTGCACGTCGGAGCGATGCTATAATTGGGACCAGCAAAACGATGAGTGTGAATAAAAGCAAACTGTAAGAGATAAGATGGAAATTAAGCAGGTAAAGGCTGTTCCACACTCATGCCATTCGGGTACGGTATTGCACAGTACTCATGTTTGCACCTCTAAGAAATTTCCGTTTTTTCGCATCAAAAAATCCAGATACGAAGCCGAAGCTGCCTTCTTCGCCAACCTGAAACTGTCTGATTTCAACATCATTGACACCCTTGGAGTCGGAGGGTTTGGACGAGTTGAGCTGGTAGGTAACCTTTTCTTCTTTGAAGTTTGCGTGATGTCCTATTTAAGTACCGTGTTATGAGTCTTTTTGATTTTTCTTTGTTACTACACCCGAATAACTGGAAGAAAATTATGTGATGGGATTATATATTTTCTAATGGTTGAAGAAAGCTGAATTACGTTTTCCGGTAAATAAAAATGTACAAATAAATGCTTTGCAGTAACCAAGAGGAATTTATGCACTAGGTTGAGAGAGGAGCACACACCTTCTCTCTCCAAGTGGTCCTCTGTTTATGGCATTGATTGCCTTTTAAAAACAACCTGAAGAGTTGTGCGGCTGTTGAGTGCTAAGATTGAAAGAGCAACCTAAAATCTTACTTAGCCAAAACTGGAGTAATGGTACGATGTCTCTTCTAAGCGGTTTCTAATTCAGGTCTAGAGATAGATCTCCTTGGTTATCACAAAAGCTGTAGGTTCAATGTCTGAACTATGACAACCCTTCACAGAAAAGTACTTATTTTTCGCAGAATTGTAGCAAAAGGGAAAAATCTGAGCTTGCTTTTTGCTCTGCTTGAATTTAGAGCTCTGTAGTCTTTTTTAAAACAAAGCCTGAGTGAGAGGAGACTGAAACGGCAGCCAGTGTGTGACCCGTTTGTAATACATGTAAATACAAAAACTTAGAATAGAAGGAGCTTAGTTTACATCACAGTGCTGACCACGGAGCTTCTGATACCAGACACCAGTAGAGTATGTTAGGAACTCCTGTAAGTTAGGGGCAGAAAAGTGAACAGAGTTACTGCTGCCATCACGAAACTTCGGGGAAATCCCCACCCTGCGGGAGCCAAATGCGCCTGTAGTGCTGGGATCTGGAAAACCGGCAAAATGAAGTGTTCCGGTGATTATTTGTGACCTAACGGGTAAATTCTGTGTTAAAAGTGTGACTCGCTCTGCCACGTGATTTATTTCTGACTTTTCCTGTTTGGATGTAAAATAGCGCGGAGGAGAGCACGTCCATGAGAACGCTGGTCCCTTCCTGGGGTTTGGGGGTTTTATTATTTATTTATTTGATATTAGCAACTGTTGTTTTGGAAGGCGGTCACAAGAGCTCACGCGTAGCCTGGGAAGGCTGTCCTTGCCCCACTCCTTCTATAGTCATCTGCTGTGGAGGATGCTTTCGAGCGGGACTTCAATTCGGGTTGCGCTCAACCTCCCTTTTGAAGGCCCTTCCCCCTCTGTTGACAACAGCATAAAGCTCAGGAGATTTGTCTCCTAAATTAACATCACCACTGGCTTCACCGCCCCCCAGTTTGGGGCTTGTTTTGAATCTTGTGGAGGACCTTGTGGGGTTTGTTTTCATTTTTAAGGCTTTTTTGATGCATGCTGTCAAGCTTTGAAGACCTCAAGGTGTTCCTGGGAAGGTGCATGAGTTTGTCTTCATGAGGGGTTGTTTATGGGACCCTCAAACCACACAGATGAGAAAACAAATTGGACTGTGCTATTCCTGGCCATGGGCCAGTCCTCTACCTCTGGCTGCTCACGGAGGTAATTTGGAAGCTTTAAGATGTTGACAAAAATCAAATCTTATCGATGCGTGACGCTTGGCCAGGTGTGAGGAAGAGCAGGAGTGGACATGCTCTGTTGCCGCAACGTATCAGATCACCGTCAGGTAGAAATATTGAGGTCTTAGGAGATGTTCAAATCTCAGAAGCCTCCAAGAAGCCCTGGTGCTACCTACGCAGCCGGCAGAAGGCTACTGGTGGGAGAGATGTTTCCGTCATCTCGTAGGGGTTTTCTTCAGGGGTGGGTGCCCCTCTCCTAAGCAGGAAAATGCTGGTTAAGGTCATTTTCTGTAGTTCTTAAATAATACTGAATTACACACAGAAGGATAAAAGATATTTAAAAGTTTAGCTTAACACTCCAGATTTTATTATTTTTCTTTACCACGGAGGGAAATTTTGTTATTAAAACAAGAAAATACTCTTTTTGTCAAAACAGCCTAGAATTGCTACCTCTTGCTTCTATCTTTCCCATAAAAAATACGTTTTATAATTTAAGGCTAAAAAATGAGCTAATGCAAAATGCGTCGGAGGAATTGACGCTTTCACGGCCTGCGTGTGTTACGGTAGCATGCTGGTGCACAGCAGCGTTGAAATTTGTTCCTGGAAAACATTCACATTTTTGTGTTTTCCAAGAGTAAAATTGATCAAATAAATAAAGTAGATTGCAAGGAAGAAGATTTTTATAGCTTAACCTCGGCCGCTGTGGGCCAGCCCCCGCCAGGGCATCTCCGTATCCTTCAGGAGGGCAACTGGTGGAAACTGGAATGTCTCAGGCTTAGTTTGGGTCTTGCTGGCCAGGAAGGAATAACGCTGCCATTGGCCTGCCATTGGAAGGAATAACATTTCCAGCTGTGGTTTGTATCAATATATGCTGGTTTTCCAGAGACCTCTGTGAATGCTGCCTGTTCGGAGAGGTCACCCCTTCAATGCATTCGTACACAAGTACATGGCTTTTAGGCGAGACAGCCTAAAATTCAAATAATTTTCAATTCTATGGAGATTACACGTGGAAATACCTTTTTTTTTGTCTTGCTTTTCTAGGTAGGTTTATTTTTTGTATGTCAAGAGACATTTCCAGCAGATTTGCATTGGTGGTGTACATAGTTTGCTCGGTTTTTTGATGGCTACCTGCTGCCTCTTGCAACATGCCTTGTCCTTATGGATGCTCTTCTCCTTCTTCATCCCTAACTGGACTATGTAGTCAGCTTTTATCCGGGCTTCTCTCGAGAAGAGAAACCAGCTGAGCAGTGGCTGTGCTATTTTAGTAGGGGACCAGCTCTGCCGCTGGAACAAGAGCAAAGAAAGGCTTTTGTTCACTTACAGCAGGACCTGTGTGATCCTCAGTGTTTGAAAAGCAAACAGGCGGGTTGGAGAGACCACAGTCTGCCCAGGGCCGGCCAGTGCCACATTCCTAGGACAACCCTCCCGCATTTCGGAGGGCTGCCAAGTAGGTGCAAGCCGCTCCGGGACACGTCTCGCCCAGCTGGTGGACACCTCCCTTAGCAGGGCAGAAAGAAAACATAGGAGTGGACTTCTTGGTTTTTAATAGCACGGATGAACAGGCGCAGCCCCTATTTTTTGCAACTCAGCTTCTCAGCGCTGTGTCAGTTGAGCATCTTCTGTGTTGGGATCCAGGTGCCTCAATAATACGTTGGAACAGGGAATGAGTATGTCATCTCAGGTCCACATCCACCAAGCACTGCTTTGCAGAGGGCAGGGGTGTAGGTCAGGTGGCCTCAGCCTTCATAAATCATCTCTCCTGAACTTTATTGCTCTTGTCTTTGTTCTTTAATTTCCTTTTAATTTAAGTAAGTCCTGTGTTTCTAATCGTCTGCCCCGGGTCAGTTATTTTGGATTTAAATCAATATTATTTTAGACAGCTCTGAAATAAATGTATTGAGTATCTGAACATACGGGGTTGGTTAGAGTCATTATTGCTGTGAAATCAGTCCATGTAGGTGACGGCTGAGCACAGGTAGACTGAAAATCAGGTCCACGCCTGAACACATGCCTTTTTGTTATATTGATTTATGCAGTTATCACTTCCAGCGATCACTCAGAGATGGAGGAAGGAGAAGATTTTAAATCACTCCTGTTGTTATAAAATTGCAAAAGTAATATATTTTCTCCACACTCCGTCACAAGCTTGATTGAGACTTGGTTGCAGGTACATATTTGTTCACTTCTCAGTACAGGTACACCAGTGAAAACCTATAGACTTACCCACTGTCCCTGCACGGACGCAAGCTTGGAGGGAGCTGTGCCTTTTGCACTCCTGTGGGTAACATATGGCTTGGGACATCCTGAAGGCAGCAGGCGATAGGCAGCTTGAGGACAGTCTCAGTATTTAGCCCTGACTTGACAAAACATTTAATCGTATTTTTTAACGTTCAGCAGTTTTGCGGAAGTCGGTGGCACTTAACAGCACATATTTCAACCATATGGTCATTAAACCTCGCGCTGGAAGGGGCCTAAAGAGATTGTCATCCAGGCAGAGTCAGATATACCTAACCGCTTCTGACCAGATTTCTCTAAGATGTTGAAATCTTCAGGGAAGGAGGTTCCCAGGAAGGTTCTTCCTAATATTTAACATCTCCCTGCTGTAGCCTGTAGTAGCCTTGAAATACAAATACATACAACCCTTGAGGTTGGGTTCTCTGTATTTGAAGACCATGATGACGTGAATCTGAAGAACTCTTCTCTTTAAAAGAATAAATGTGCTTCTTTTGAGCTTTACATCTAATTCGTGCTCTCTAGGCCTGTGATCATGCTTGTCCCTCCGTCTCCAGCTGGCTCTCACCTCTTTGGAGCGATGCCCAAACCGGGCACGTTAGTCCAGCCTGGACCTTCCTCTGCTCAGGCAGAGCTGGACGACCAGGGGCAGCGCTTTGCCACTACTAAATGGTGTCCCTTGTATTTCGAGTCATCACTTCAATTTGTAAGAATTAGTTTGAATTCCTTCGCTCTTCTCAAAAGTGCTCCCAGCCCTCTCTGGCTTGATTTTAATAGGTGCGAAGTTAATAATATTCATCTTAGTTCATAATCCAAGCCATTAATGAAAGTGTTTTATGGTGCCATGTACTAGACAGACCCCCGTGAAGTCCTTTTGGCTTGACGGTGGCCACTGAAAGCTAAACTCTTTTACAATACGGAGATTAATAAAGACATACACATAAAAATGAAGCCTTAGTTTCAGCCACATTTTACTGGGCCTATACAAGACCTTTTTAAAATGGACAAGATGGCATTTTTCATTTTTGTTCCTGTTTTAAGAGAAATCTGGCCACAGATTATGAAGTGCAATCAAATTTATTATAGCCTCTAGCCTGTTTTGTAAACAAAACCATTAGTGAATTAATTAGATGGCGAGGAAAAAAAAGGCCGTAATTGTCTTCCGACAGACTGACAGATGCATCACTCAGATATTTATTAGTGGAACTTTCCAATTGCATAGCTGTCCTTT